GCGTGTATCTACAACATCAGTCCTACATCACAGGAGCGTGTATCTGCATCGTCAGTCCTACACCACAGGCGCCTGTATCTACGACATCAGTCTTCCTACATCACAGGTGCCTGTAACCACAACATCAGTGCTACATCACAGGCGCCTATATCTACAACAACAATTCTACATCACAGGTGCGTGTATCTACAAACCCAAGCCTTACATCACAGACGCCTGTATCTACATCAGTCCTACATCACAGGTGCCTATATCTCCAACATCAGTCACACATCACAGGCGTCTGTATCTACAACATCAATCCTACATCACAACCGCGTGTATCTACAACATCAATCCCACATCACAGGTGCCTGTATCTACAACATCAGTCCTACATCACAGGTGCCTGTATCTACAACATCAGTCTTCCTACATCACAGGTGCCTATATTTACAACATCAGTCCTACATCACAGGGGTCTGAAGCTAAAACACACTCAAAAACTTAGATTTTTAGTTGTCTTTTGTTTAACCCTTTCAAGTCATATGGTTTTTGCTGTCACTGAAGTTGTTAAAACTGTCGGATATGTATTACTATTTCTCACACGATCAAAAGAAGGCGTTCATCTTTAGATTTAAACATTCTCTTTAGTTAGCAACTTCTGTCTCTCTGACCTTCTTTCCGGCGTTTGATGTTGTCGCACCTACGAACGTTAGTGTGGCGTCGTCGAAATCCTGCATTTGTAGTCAAACTATATGGAAACAGGGGAGATAACTCGAACAAACTCACGAAATGCGTACAAAGCATATTTATATAGTTATGTTTCGTACCATAATACTTATCATCTCTCTGTCGGAATTTTAACTTTCTCGTAATAGTTCTAATTACTAGATCAATAAAAAGACTTGTTTTCAGAGGTGAGTGATCTGTAATGGTATAATCGCCCTACGCTAATCGCGTTATTGCTGCCAAGCAACGAGGCTATCACAATGACGTCATTGCAACGTCACTATCTATTTTGAAATATTGATATTGATTTTGTCTTTAATTTTAGCATCAGATGTATATTAACGGCTTCGTGTTTAGGTAATTTAACGCCTGAATAATGCTGTGATTTAGAAAGACATTTTTCAGTCGGAAAAAAGGAAATAATTCCTTTCAGATGTCAAAGAACAGAAGTTTGATCTTACTCGTGAAACTGTGAATCACGTATTACAGACTACAATATTTTAATCGCAAGTTTCTGAAGAAAACCACCAAACAGATGTACATGTATATGGCTATGAAAAAGCGATAGCATAATCACATACTGCAAACATATGTATTTATAAGTTAAATGCAGATCTAAATTCGGCCTTTAGGAATGACGCGTTGTAAATAATATATCACACAATACGATTCTACGAAGAATTAATCCATGATGTACGTTTAAAAAACGACAAGTTCAAAAATCTTTTATAGCTTCGAAATATTTTTGTTGTTTTATTTTCTTGATACAAATAACATTGTCGAAAACATTACTCTGTTTCTATGGTTACTGACGTCAGTAGGAGATCATTCTGGAATTTCCGTCTTGATTTTATATATGTTCTCGAGAGAGCTTAAGAAAATTCTGATGACGAGTTTGATATTCTGTTTATCATGATCTTATTTAAAAATGAAATGAATAATAAATTAAAGATATATATATATATATATATATAAATGAACAGATAAATAAATAAAGACAAAGTCGCTATTGTATTGTACCCTTGATGGAACTTAATGGAGAAATTTCGGGTCTAATTTTATTACCTGAAATAAAATGATACCCTTACTACGCAATCGATTTGATACATAATGTATTTACAATATAATAAAGATGGCGGCCATAGTTTATAGAATATTTCTCGACTCGACGTCATTTTTATACACACGATACTCATTATGACATACAGGTGATCGGTGATATAAGTACAGTGACAAGTGTGTATCTATATCTGACTAATCCTGCGTCTGTGTGATTCTGCAGAATCATTCTACTTATATTTATTCGGATTTTTCTCGAATTATAAATCATTGTTTATGGAAAATTCACCACAACACAGGATGACAGATGTTTTCTCTATGGTTTTTCCTTGAAACATACTCTGGAAATTACTAAATAAGCGCCTTATTTCATTAAAAGTTTATTATCATCATATATTCTTGCAATTTATTTCAAAGCGGAACAGGTGCGTTATATATGTGATTTCATAAGGAACTGTCATATTTTCCGAAACCGGAATTGCTCCGTAAATAATGTTATTTTTTTTCTGACAGATCGGTCTTGACAAGTGAGCTTAGAATTATTTCCCTAAGTCATTACATGACAAAAGTCACTTAATGGAAGCAGCTGAGCGTTCGCTGGTCGGACTGTACAGGAAATAGGGAGGAGGGGCTGCAAAATGGTCGTTATTATTTTATTACTAGTTGTTGGCATTCGCGGCTCCCATCGTCCGCCATGCTATCTCATAAGTGAAACGAAGGGAAGTAACTCTGGGATATCAGAATGAGGATCGGAAATGCAGGTTTAACTGGGAGGATATGTAATAAGTAGGCTGCAAAAGAACTTTAAACTAATTCCTATTACCGATATATAAATATGCAGCAGGAAGAAACACCTAACGAGTGCCCCAACTGGAATCGAACCCAAGTTTCTGGCGCGAGAATCCAAGAATCTACCATAAACCGAGTCGAAGACAAAGACATTTTATATCTGATACACGAAAATAGGGAAGGAAACAGAAAAAATAGTGATAGGGGTTGGGAAGTGGGGGTTGGTGAAAATCAGACAGATAAGGGGGAGGTGGGGGGAGGGAGGGAGATTTCCATTTTGATCTACAAGACAAAAAAATATCAAACTTATTTTATTCAGGGTTAACATCATTTGTCTGATCATCACCATCAAGTCACGTTTGTTTGCTGTATTTATCACCCCGTGAAATCCAGGATAATTTTCAGACAGTAACTGGTGACTACCTTACTGAACAAAACACCAGCGGTCCGTCGCATGCCGTCCGAAGCAGGGAATTTAGTGTCTAAGGACAAAACCAGCACAGATCAATACTTTTAAGTTAAGCTTTCTGACTGTTTTTGTGAGAATAAGTATAGCATTTCTATATCTTTTAAGCCATAGTAGTAGGAAACAGAGGGGACCTCTCCCCATCTAGATAACATCATTGCCCCTCCCCTCTCTCTAATGACGTCATCCCCATCAAAGCGCGGGAAACCGCCATTCATAATTCTAATTAAGTCATCTCGCGTTTTGAAAGGGAGAAAGGGAGTGGGGAGTGATGGAGAGGCAGTGCCGCACCCACCCTTGATTAAAACATTTTTATCATATCAAATATACGCGATGGGGATCGGGCACAAGTTTCCGACTTATATTAAGCCCCCTCCCTAAAATGATATATAACACCTAAATATTCACACAAGATGGAAGTAGTTACAAAACGTTTGAATGATTTCATAAATTTTGTTTTAGGCCGAGTGAGTGAATCTTCCCAGACCCATTAGGCACTATTCGACTTTCCTCTATTCCATTTGTTCGGCTTTTCAAAGTTCACATTTTTTCTTGAATAATTCGTACAGAAAACAAAACGATTGCAAAGATCAGAATTGAACTCAAGAAATGATTATTCCAAACCTTACATGTGTAAATATCTAAACAAGATGTCTGTAGAGTCATTTCTACAGTAAATGTAAAGTAATTAAAAACACAACATAAAACATTAAAGTAAACACAATCAAAACTTTGACATAAACAGCGTGCATGGATAAGGTACCGTGTAATCAATACAGGTACGTGTTCTCTAAAAAAACCTACATGCGAAAAATCATGAAAATTATTTTAAAAAATAAATAAATAAATTATAATGATAAAAAAATGAACAACAACATAACAAATAAAAACAGAACAAAAACAATAGTTTATGATTTATTTCCTTGGTTTTGAATACTGTTTGTGGCTGTATTGATTCTATTGTCGGAGCCAGACATACGTCAATTCCGGATACGTATACTTAATGTAATTCAATGACGCGTACACACTAGTTACTGTTACTCGTGTTTTTTCATTAGTCATTTTCATTTCATGGTTTTAAAAAGAACTTACCAAACCATCCAACTGCGCACCGTTTCATAATGATTTAGAAAAATAAATTTCAACCCTGACTTTGAAATAATCCATGCTCATTCGATTGTGAAACAATTTCATCGGCACAAGGCATAGTTAGCTTTCCAATTTTTTTTTATGAAAATTTAAAGAAAGTTTATCAATATAAAAAAATAATGCAGTTGGTATTTTCATTATTTTGTCTTCAGTATGCTGTTTTAAAGAAGGCTTTGTAGTTTCACTTTGCAGAATTTAAAAATACTTTATATTAAGATGAAAAAATTAAATACGAAGCTGACGATGCATAATTTATTTACCATTTTTATACACTCTACCACCACTTGGATAGGTCACTCACATAGTTTTATCTGTTTGAATGACGTAAATCCGCGTTTCGAAGGGAGACAGAATAATATGATCATAGATAACATTATGCAATATTTTATACATAATGAAAATATAGCAAGATCTTATTTTACTAATAAAACATTAGACTGGACATCATTTTTGTGAATGAAGATGAATCCATGCACAAGTTCTATCTTTCACTGCAAGGTGCTCGATCTTTATTAAAAAATGCATTAGCAATTGGTAATGCCATTGGTGCAAGGAACGGAGCAAGTTCGCCGATGGTTGTGATAAACACACATGTTTCACTCATTCTAAAACCGCTAATATAATTTTATTGACTGTCGTTCTATCCAACCTACGTCATTGCCGAGACTCATCCTTAGCAACGCCGAATACGAAACTTTCATCTGCAATTAGTAGGCAACTTCTAGCTCGATACTGACGTCACACTGACGTCACAATCCGGTATACACGGCTCAGCGCCATGCAAAATAATATGAGGCAGTCACTGAGTGAGCTCGGAGCTAAAGAGACTGTGTGTGTGGATGTACGACGAAAAAGGACGGATTTTACTAACCAAACATAGACCATGGTCATGGCTGAGAGATCGAAGGGTCACGTTCGGGTGGGATTTTATGATATTGAAAGGACTATCGGAAAGGGGAACTTTGCGGTGGTCAAACTGGGAAAGCACCGTATAACTAAATCAGAGGTTAGTAGCTGCATGCATGAAAATAATAAGACACTTAGAGTATTGCTTCAATTTATAGAGCTAAATGATTCCTATATATTTGAAAATACAGTTAAAACATGATAGTCAGGTGCACGTAATAGCTTGCAAACACCGTGTCTATTGTGCACGAACTTGGAAGTCTCATTGTGCAATCAGTCCTATTCTGACATTTCCTGTTTGTATCCTCAAAATATTATGAATTTGTGTTTGCCAGATAGGTTTAGTTTTCTTAGTTCAAACTTTGTTTTTAAAACATCTACTGAATAGTTATGTTATGTTTTATTGACCTGTCCCGAAGCAGTGAACGCTGGGTCGTCTCTTCAGGGTTCTTTGTGTATTGGGGAATGACATGTGTGTGGCTTTACTCGTCCAGCTTGAGGCGATATATGACAGTTGTTCGTGGTCATTGGTCAGTCCCGGTTGCGTGTTTTATATGACATGTCTCAGTGTCAGGTAAATATTTCTGTATAACATGCATAAGATTCGACAATTCGACACATGCTTTCCGTTTTGTGTATATGTTATTTTTAGTAACAAGTAAAAAAAAAAAAACTCCAAATGAATTCCTTTTACACGATTGTTTTGTTTCTTTTAACTTGTACCCCTTTTATAGAATAAAATTAAAAGATCTAAATGAAAGAAATGGATTGAAATAAGTTTAAATCACATTCAAAACATTGAAACTGGAACATTGTATGTATTATAAGAGTGTATTGATATCATATATACACAGGTGTTTATAAAGTCATTATAAATAGGTGAACCAGGTCAATGGGTCATTTCAATCATTGTACCAGTGTTAGCTGTCTACGGACACAAACATTTGTTTTTAGGAGCCTACATTTTCAAATGTTTGAATTTGTGCAAACTTTTCATGAAAAGTTGCATTCTACTCCACAATAACCTTCTCCCCTAAAAACAAAACATTGTTCAAATTGGAAGAAAAATAACAATAATATGCATTTTTTTTGGTAATTGGTTAGATATGTAGGGAATTATAACAGTGATAAATCTTACAACTTGTTTTTATGAGTCTTTAAACTTAATTGCTTAAAACAATGGGTCACACGGTGTAAAAATTCAACTATTTAAGAAGTTCTGAGTGCCATAAAATTCACGAGTACAGGGACTCAGGATTTGCATGAAGATTGTTGTACAATATATTGTGAAATTCACAGCTAGTAGTTGATGACATTTGAATGTCATGTTGATGATGATAAAACAACAACACAAAATGTTCATTGTGAAATCTGTGTAAAATATAATCTGAAACAAAAAAACTACCAATGTTAAGACCTCATGAAGTGAAACCATGAAAAAGCATACTTTATATATGTACAAGGTTAACAAGTCTGATTTGTCTTGAATATTAGTATCTGGCCATCATGTGTATACTATATAGGTTATATACGAGTCAAATATCAAGTTGTTTCTCCTGGCTATTTTTTATACACCTGAACACCTACACAGGTATAATGGTAATACATGATATAAACCAAAGTTGTGTACTGTACTTTCTTACAAGATAAACACTGTGTGCCTCAGCACTATTATCAGAATATCTCATCATAAATGAATTGTCAGTATTTATGAAAACGAGAGAGTTGTAAATGTAAACATGTTTATTGTGATAACTTTCTGTAGGAAAAGTTCACCTGTATGTAAAAAGTAAAACCTAACATCACCATTACTTTGACATCCTAATTGTTATTCTCTCTGATGTAATGGTTTCTATGCTACGTCTGTCCATGTTCACCTCCCATCCGTCATCTAACAGTAAGAGACTGTTTTCTAAGGCCTGCATAGCATAAAAATTATTGATCACTTGAAAAGTTCTACAATAGCTTTTGTAATTTCTAGATATTACAGCTGGTACTAAATGACATGTACATATAATAAGTTAGTCTTATTATGAAAAATTACTGAACATAAGCTTAAACAGTGACTCGTGGTGTTCAAATCCACTCGTAATGCAGGTAACCAGGAAATGTTTGGTTTTTGTAGAAACCAGATAGTACTAGTTTGTGGACGTAACAAGTTTACAGTTCAACGGCATAGACTGATAAAATATTCATACAATAAAATTGTAGCTTTATGTGTCAGGCATATTGTCACTCTAAATTCCTCAAAATTTTATCACAGATGATGGCATTATGTGGTAGCTGTATTGAACTATTTGTGATAAAAACATAGATAAAAAGTAAATTTGAAACTAATTTATATATGGTTCCTTCTTTAACTATTTATAATAAATATTCATTGGAACATCATATTTTTTATTTTGTAATTGATTACATTAAAGCATATACAATTATAATGCATAATGAAAATTTAGATCATGTGGAGACTAAATTAAATGCAGCTATCCTGTCTGTCAAAATACAGATATTGTCTGATTTTGATGAAATTTGATATAGGAGACGTGTGGTGAAAGGGAGGCCAGTAGTCAAGAAAACTCATAATCCACACTGAAATATTAGGAAATGGATTTCTGTGCTGTCACAATTGTTACACAATAATAGTTGAGGGAGATGTTTAAAAATGAGCTGTTAGGAATCTCATAATCCAGATGATTTTGACACGATAATATAGGGTCCAGTTCATTGTACATGTAATTGCATTCTGACTTTTAACACAACAAAAGGTGAATGTTACTGCAGCTTTCATAAGACCATACACAAGCATCCTTTATGACTGCAGGGTAGTTTGGAAGACATGCAACAATTCTAGTTTCTCAACAATGCTGTAGCCTGTGTTTTATCCTTGTTACACGGTACCATGTGGTTGGTGTAACTACAATATATTGTTGGATACCTTAGGCCCTAAAATAGGAGTGTCTTCTGCTGTATTCAGGTCACATTTACCAAGGCAGTCTATATTAGCCATGGTTGTCGTCTCCAGAATCCAGTCTATATTAGCCAAGGTTGTCATCTCCAGAATCCAGTCTATATTAGCCAAGGTTGTCGTCTCCAGAATCCAGTCTATATTAGCCAAGGTTGTCGTCTCCAGAATCCAGTCTATATTAGCCAAAGGTTGTCGTCTCCAGAATCCAGTCTATATTAGCCAAGGTTGTCATCTCCAGAATCCAGTCTATATTAGCCAAGGTTGTCGTCTCCAGAATCCAGTCTATATTAGCCAAAGTTGTTGTCTCCAGAATCCAGTCTATATTAGCCAAGGTTGTCGTCTCCAGAATCCAGTCTATATTAGCCAAGGTTGTCGTCTCCAGAATCCAGTCTATATTAGCCAAGGTTGTCGTCTCCAGAATCCAGTCTATATTAGCCAAGGTTGTCATCTCCAGAATCCAGTCTATATTAGCCAAGGTTGTCGTCTCCAGAATCCAGTCTATATTAGCCAAGGTTGTCATCTCCAGAATCCAGTCTATATTAGCCAAGGTTGTCGTCTCCAGAATCCAGTCTATATTAGCCAAGGTTGTCGTCTCCAGAACCCAGTCTATATTAGCCAAGGTTGTCATCTCCAGAATGCAGTCTGTATTAGCCAAGGTTGTCTATATTAGCCAAGGTTGTCATCTCCAGAACCCAGTCTATATTAGCCAAGGTTGTCATCTCCAGAATCCAGTCTATATTAGCCAAGGTTGTCATCTCCAGAATCCAGTCTATATTAGCCAAGGTTGTCGTCTCCAGAATCCAGTCTGTATAGCCAAGGTTTTCCAGAATCCAGTCTATATTAGCCAAGGTTGTCATCTCCAGAACCCAGTCTATATTAGCCAAGGTTGTCATCTCCAGAATCCAGTCTATATTAGCCAAGGTTGTCATCTCCAGAATCCAGTCTATATTAGCCAAGGTTGTCATCTCCAGAACCCAGTCTATATTAGCCAAGGTTGTCATCTCCAGAATCCAGTCTATATTAGCCAAGGTTGTCATCTCCAGAATCCAGTCTATATTAGCCAAAGGTTGTCGTCTCCAGAATCCAGTCTATATTAGCCAAGGTTGTTGTCTCCAGAATCCAGTCTATATTAGCCAAGGTTGTCGTCTCCTGAATCCAGTCTATATTAGCCAAGGTTGTCATCTCCAGAATCCAGTCTATATTAGCCAAGGTTGTCATCTCCAGAATCCAGTCTATATTAGCCAAGGTTGTCATCTCCAGAACCCAGTCTATATTAGCCAAGGTTGTCATCTCCAGAATCCAGTCTATATTAGCCAAGGTTGTCATCTCCAGAATCCAGTCTATATTAGCCAAAGGTTGTCATCTCCAGAATCCAGTCTGTATTAGCCAAGGTTTCCTTCTCCAGAATCCAGTCTATATTAGCCAAGGTTGTCATCTCCAGAATCCAGTCTATATTAGCCAAGGTTGTCATCTCCAGAATCCAGTCTATATTAGCCAAGGTTGTCATCTCCAGAACCCAGTCTATATTAGCCAAGGTTTCCTTCTCCAGAATCCAGTCTATATTAGCCATGGTTGTCATCTCCAGAATCCAGTCTATATTAGCCAAGGTTGTCATCTCCAGAATCCAGTCTATATTAGCCAAGGTTGTCATCTCCAGAATCCAGTCTATATTAGCCAAGGTTGTCATCTCCAGAATCCAGTCTATATTAGCCATGGTTGTCATCTCCAGAATCCAGTCTATATTAGCCAAGGTTGTCATCTCCAGAATCCAGTCTGTATTAGCCAAGGTTTCCTTCTCCAGAATCCAGTCTATATTAGCCAAGGTTGTCATCTCCAGAATCCAGTCTATATTAGCCAAGGTTGTCATCTCCAGAATCCAGTCTATATTAGCCAAGGTTGTCATCTCCAGAACCCAGTCTATATTAGCCAAGGTTGTCATCTCCAGAATCCAGTCTATATTAGCCAAGGTTGTCATCTCCAGAACCCAGTCTATATTAGCCAAGGTTTCCTTCTCCAGAATCCAGTCTATATTAGCCAAAGTTGTTGTCTCCAGAATCCAGTCTATATTAGCCATGGTTGTTGTGTCCAGAATCCAGTCTAAATTACCCTGTTTCATATTTTCAGTGAAACCATAC